AACTTGCATTTGCTAACTTTATTATTGTCTTTTCTGTCCGACTAGTTGGGTGATACTAAAACAATTAGACCCTTCGCCCTCAAGGGCCACGGGTCTAATCGTTAATTATACTGTGTTTAATGATTTACTTCATTCTTGCAGAGACTGTAAGTTTCTAATGGCACATTTTCAATGCTTCGTTTCAGATATGGAATGGTTAGTGGAAGTCTCAGAAACAAATGAAGGGGGTAGGTTTTTCTGATAATTACTAATGTCAATTCCTTTTAGTAAAGAAACTTAAAAGGTTGTATAAAAATGTTGAATGCATACACACTTGATAAAGATTTGCTTTGGAGAGATATTTTGTTACCTACACTTAGTGTAATTAACACGTCAAGTCATTAATTTTAGTTTGTTGTTGTTGTTATTATTATTATTATTATTATTATTATTATTATTATTATTAGAAACTATTGTAGAAGGCAGTGAGGGACCTGGTAACATGGAAGTTGACATTGGTGAGTAAATTTAATCTTTGAATTTTTTCCTCACAATTGATGTTAGTATTATTATTACATTTATTTGATCAAGAAGAACAAGGACAATCTAAGTTGGAAATAAGAATTTCATGAAGTACATTCTAGTCGTTTGTAAGATTTTATGATTATAATCTCTCCACAACGGCCACCTTAGAGACAGAGGAACATGCCGTTGTAGAGAGGTGACCGTTATGGGGAGGTAGGGCTGTGATGTGACTGTTTAATGCCTGTATTTTTTGGGAGTGCGACATTTCTATCTTAAAAAAAAAAAAACTTAAATGCTTAGTATAAAACCGTAACACAGTCAAAATAAATAGATTAACAGAAACCAAACAGGAACAGAGGCCAACAACGCGCGGTATAGATTAATTTTTGTAACATTTTGCAATATAATCTGGTGTTTTGTATGTACTGTTCGTCAGTCATTGTTTAATTTTTGGGGGTTAAAGTAAGAGTGAATGTATGGACTGTCCACTGGGACAAAAAAGGTATTGTAGAGAGGTTGTTTTGGTAGTTTGGGACACGCTTTAGTGGCCGTTGCTGTTGTGGAGAGGCAGTCGTTGTGGGGAGGTAAAAGTAATTAAGAGTCAGTAAATGTGTGAAGTGTCCCCTGGGGCAAAAAAGTGGCCTTTGTAGAGAGGTGGCTGTTAGCAGAGGTTCAACCGTATATGGATGCACATTCAATTCTACCTATATGTTATAGTAATCAAGACTTTTAATAATGAAAAGTTCAAAATATCAAGTGAGTCATTTCTTTTCTGAAATACGCAAATTTTAAGTCTTTTTTGATCAAGGCTCTATTCCTTGGTTGATGTCTTGATGATTATCTTTATTCTCATTAGCTCTCTGCTTGACAGTGTATGGAAATTCTAAGGAGATTGTAGTTGTTAGATCACTCTTGGAAATTGAAAGGTTGCACTGACAGCTACCTCGTAGATCTTACAACTGTATTTTACTTTAAAATGAAACAAAAGTTGTTTGAAACGTTACTTACTAGACTGCACAAATGAGGTATAAATTTTACCTTTTGCCCTGTTGTATTTTAAAATGATGTATTCAACTATTTTGTGTAGGATTTCTCCCCCGAATGGAGCTACATAGTACAGTGCCATCAGTTGCGCAAGATGGGAAGCAAAGTGATGGAAAAGGGACATCTTCCAGCCAAAATATCAAATGGGACAAAGAGATTTCTTTTCAGGAAGCTTACAGTGCCCTTGAAGCGAAATTCTACTCTTTCAAAAAGGTAATTGGCAACAAAAATATTCTGCGAAATGTGAAATGTTCAGCATGTCGCGAGCATGGGGCAAAGACGGAGAAATTTGTGTCCTGACGGGATTCGAACCCATGACCTCCCATATAGCGCTCTAACCACTGAGCAGAGCTACCGAGAGAGTCGTGGCGAGTGAGGCCATTTACAAGGTTCTGGTTGGTAGTTTTACAGTTTTAAATTTTCGCGCAAGGAATAACCAATCAGAGACTCTACGCGGATATTTTTAGACTACTTCATCAGTATTGAAGTTTCGAGATCCAGGCTCTGATCGCTAGAGAATAGAGCTTCTCGAGAGCGACCACACCAAACGTCGAGCCTACAGTCATGGACAAAAGTCTTGGGACAGATTTGCACTTTTGGCGCTTTCAGTTTGCCCACATGCCAGACGCGAATACAACTTCACCTGCCAAACCTCGCCCCCCACCCCCCATACAATGTTGAAAACTACTACCTGCAATTTCTTGTGATTTTTAACATTGTATTGGGTGGGAAGGGGGAACAGTAATGCGTTTTTAAAAGGAAAGCAGCGCTTTTTTCAAACTTCAGCAGTAAAAGACAGATAATTCGTTAAATTACATAAGTGTCCCAAGGACTTTTGTCCACGATTGTNCCCCCCCCCCCTGCGCCAACGCCCATCTAAACCCGTGATTTGTTCGTTCCACCCGACCTTAAAACTCTATTTTGTACATTCTGCACGTTTCAGGTCCCTTACTTACCGTTCCAAGATGCTATTAACAGGGCAAAAGCAGAAAACAAACTTGTTCATCACATTCTGTTGTGGGGAGCTTTAGACGATCAATCATGCTGAGGTAAATTCATTTTGTTTGACCTGGTATTTTTTTGCGCCTTACAGGAGTTGTTCAAGTCGTGGCTTTTACTCAGCCCTACCCCTCTGCCTTAGACACTTTATACTATGCCATAGAAAATATAGCTCATCAGAAAACAGTAAAGCCCTTGTATATTCGACGGTATTCCACCCAGCCTTCCCTTCGTGCGCCACGCGTGTGTCCCATTGATTGTGCTGGCCACTGTGTTTTGTATTGCATGGTATACCGAGATGACGTGTTTATACCGAGAAAACACCAGTGACTCGTGGGATATTCCATAGTGTACCACGAGAGAGCGTTACATAACTAGTGTGTAGGGATGTTTTCAGAGTGAGTGAAAGAGTATTTTGTTGTTACGGTCACCTCTATAGTTAAGAAGCGAACAAACGAATCGACGAAAATTAGCAAGAGTTCAGATTTTCTGCCTTGTTTAACCAGCTCGCCTGCGCTCTCATCAGTTCTTTTGCGGTTTCTTCGGATTTAAACTAGCTCACATTTCGACAAGAGGTTTTTCTCGCATGTCCGCGTTGTTATAATGGTTATTAGAAGTTGAAGAAACTTTCCCGCTCGTTTACTTTAGCCTTAACATAAATTGTTTCCTTTTGTTTTTATGACAGGTTCAGGGCGGACTCTCCGAGATGGTCCCTTGGAGAGTTCGCCTATAGTCCATCTATTAATGAAGAAATTCATCAGTACTTGGACACTAGTAGCAGAGCTTAAGGTTTGTAGCAAATGTCTGAATTGGTGAAGGAATAACTAATCCAGTTACCTTCTATACTGTGCAAGACGCGATTGTCTTATGGTTAGGACGGTGGCGTCTGGATCGCAGTGCCTCTCTCCTCTCTCCACCCACCGAAGTATTAATTTTTCTTGTATAAAAATGTTTTCCTCTTCCTTATGTCTTGTGCAGTTTGGGATTGTTCAAACTCAAAACTGAAGGACGAGCAATATAAACAGAAAACTTCATTAAGGAAAAGTCACAAATAAACTGATATCAAAATTCTTAGCTTAATCGGGCTTTGAACAACCCGACTCAGGAGTATAAGAATTGTTAAGCTGTTAGGACATGGAAAACAGTGAATTAAATCTTAGGAAATCGAAGTCCTGGACTGCACTTCTAGTCGCTTCATGCTATAGAAACCATGATAACCAATGATAACCGCCAACAGAAGAGGCCAGTTTGGCTCGAGTGTAACTTAACCCATATTTTATATCGGAACTGCCAAGGCGAGATGACAATTGTGTTACAGTTTTTGGATTTTGGATTCTCGAACAAGAAACTTGTCACTGTATTAACGTGAACAACTCGATATTCTTTTTGCAGGATCTAGCTGCTAATGGTACAAACGTTGAAGTGACTGAAGCAGCTAAAGCACACTTGGATAGTTACAGGTATAAGCGCCATTTTATATCCTGATTTGCAATTGTTTAAATTTTGAACTCCTTTAAGAGTGGCCGCTGATGATGTTCATTTCAGCTCCGATATGAGAAACGCACATACGTACTCTGTGCCGTGATTTTTTCTCATAACTGGCCATGCATCGGGTTTATGATCTCCCATCACAGCTCGATAAAATACCTCTTACCATCTAACATGTTCTGTCCTCTGCAGTTCGCCTCTCCGTTGCATTTTCAAACGAAAAGATAATCTCTCAGTCTTATTACATGACCGCCTCGACGTTCTTCAGTTCTTTACACTACGCCAATTTTGGTTCTCACTTAGTCTAATGATCGTCGTTCTACGCTTCACTCGTGTTTGTGACCACGTGGTGGTCAGTCGCAACGACACGCCCCCCTCCCCCCCTCTCCCCTCCACTGACCCGTAGTAGTCATGATTGGCCACGGGAAGACACGTTTCAGGGTTCACCTTTCTTCTTTCTACTCACAACAGACGAAACATCCGTGATAAAATGACAACTTGGGTCACCGTAACTGGCATACAACTAACTGATGTGTTTTTACTACTGACAAACTAATTCATTGTTGATTTCAAGCCATGAGCATTAACCCCTTTTGAGAGCGAAAAAGACGAAAAGAACAGAACCTTGAGAAGGGGAATTTCTTCCAGGCTCTTGTATTCGTCGATCGTCCCTTTCATCCGGCGATTATTTACAAGTTTCTGCTCTTACCAACTCTGATTACCCCAGTGCAAAGCCATTGATCATCACAACATACCATACTGACAACACCACAAACATCCCTGTGAATGGGGTTTTGCATTCGAATTCAAGTAGCCTTTTCTGTAGCTAAATGACACTTTTATCTCGCAGGTTTCCTGTGGAGTCTATGGTTTCTCTTCCAAACGGGACTGTTTTGTCAAGAATGAATGCAAATGATTTATTGGAGGGTTCATCAAATGCAGAAGAGAGGTAATGGTGTTAGGGTGATCAAACTCTTATTTTATATCTTTTCCAACTTGCGCTTGGCCTATACCTTTTTTGGAGAGCAAATTGTACAGTAATCCATCTACCTCACGGACAGTGTGTGTTTTTCTTTTCAGTCTTCCTACAGGATTCGCCGATGATTTAAGTTTTATGTACTACAAGTTTCTGGAGGAAGGTGTCGCCAAGGCCAAGCAATTTAACTAGATAATACAACAATAGAAAATAATGTCATTTGCAGCATAGAGCTAGTTATTTTATTATGAAAGAAGAAGAGCGGTTTTCAATTGAGTGCCGAAAGTAATCAGACGCTTTGGTTTTGGTTTTACTACAGTTTGAGATTGGTTCAGTAGTCTAATTGATAAGCCATGAGTAATTGGTTTGGTTTTACGACACTCAATTGAAAACCGCTCTAAAGTAAATCAAAAAAGAGAAAAATACAATTTCTCGACACACGTTAGGTAGTTTAACTTATTGAGGTGGCAAGAGTTCTTTATAAAATAGTTGCAACCAAATGCTAAGACAATTTATCGTCTGGCCTACAAATAATACAAATTAAAAATAAATCAAGAGAGGTATGGAGTATTCAGAATAATAAACGACATGTGATTATCGCAGGGCCAAAAGTCGTAAATGTAAATGAAAAGACAACTTTTATTAGAGGTATATAGCTTTAAAAAGGCGAGGTAGTCAGCTGTAAATTGTTTATGACGGGCTGTTTTTCCGAATTTGAAAAGCCATGATTTTTTCGGGGTTTCCTTTTATTACACGAATTAGCATGCTATGAGGCTCTCGTGTTTGGGATTCGCTCTGCTTTCTTATCTTGGTTTCACGCTTTCACGAAAGTGAGTTCACGGGCAGGACCCCAAACAAGAGAAACTTGGTAACCTAGGGTGTTAAATTTTGGCTGTATACCCCGCCCCCTTAAAACCACCACTCATCGACGTTATGATGAGATCCGAGATCTTGTTGTTTTCCCTTCACTTTTTTACTTTTTTAGTGTAAAATTACTTATTATCCACTTTTTTTTACTTTAAATTAACAGTAAAACAACAACAACAACAACAACAACAACAACAACAACAACAACAACGTCAAAGTGTACCAATATGCTGGTGTTGCCTTTTTTTTATTTATAAAAACATAGTTAAATTTCACAATTATTATTTTACGTCTTTCCATTCGTTATGCTTCTCTAAATGACGACAACTTTACTAAACACAGGTCCTCTGTATGAAGGTTGTTTGATGTACCGAGAAACTTGAATGAATCGGGGAAAAAAATCTACTTTTACAAAGAACTTTCTTATTTTTCTTTTAATATCATAGAATTCACTTTTTAGGCTTTACAATAATTTTATAATGTAAATGTCACTTAATAAATTTGTACATGTAATGGAATGTTTTTCTATAAATTGAAACGGGAGTTTGTAAGTAAAATTTACAAAACAAAAAAGTATTGTCTTCTAATCACTGTGGGTTCATTTCGGAGGAGGGAATGCAAACAACGCCTCTCCATTTGTGTTCCATATCTTGTAGTCTGCCGACAAGAACTCGTACGCTAGAGAGAAAAAACAGCAACAACAATTATCCTGACGTGAAACAGACGGCTTTGTTGGAGCATTCAATTCTTTTCCCGCTCGAGGGGCGTCTGGGACTGGACACGGAAAATTCCACACTGATGACGTAACTCTTCCAAAATCCCTGCCTCTGATTGGTTGTTCGTAGCGCGCGAAAATTCCAGCAACAACCTCGATCCGAGGTTCCATCTCCTTTTCCTCACTGGTTGTTGAGGAGAGAGGGAAAGGAGGGCCTCGGATCGAGGTTGCAAACGCAACGCAGATCTCTGTAGATCTACGGCATCGCTATGGAGAATTGGACGTCTTCTGTCAGGTAGTGAGTAAACGCGTGAACAGTTCACAATAAACAGGAAATATAGTACTATTTCAGTACAACTACTCGAACCGGGCCACTTGGAAAAGAGTTAACCAATCAAAACGTTACTTGAGAACAAAGGATAGCGATCTTTTTCTTAAATGAACCAATAACACGAACAATAATTCTTGACAAAATTGTACACCCAACAGAGTGCGAGGAGTTGCGAACCTCTCAGGAAGTTTTGCCATTTGTTGATTGATTAGTTTCGATTCTAAATTTGTACGCTTTTCAACGGATTTGGTTTAGTTGCCGCAAAATGAGTTTTCAAGCTGAATTTATGATTATGATAATTTGCCTTCAAGTACTGAATCTCCGTTAGAGTGTATATAACGCAGAGGAGTCGATAGGGTTATGTTTTGACGTCGGACAGACAGTTGCTTGCCATCAGGAGAAGCCGCTGACAGTCCATGGTACTCAGTTTACGTCTTGATTGCTTAGCTGTCTTCTAGGTGCCCCGGTTCGAGTAGCTGCACTGTAGCTAGTGATTTAGATGCGTGCTCCCCCCACACGAGTTTCTTTTTGTCAGGTTGCTCTGGCATTTTGTCGGTCACGGTACCCAACAATACCCTTGTGCGGCATGGAGAGAGAGATTAAATAAAACACAAAGATACCAGCCCAGAGCATAAGTGCGAACCTTTTAATGTGAATTTTTGACTATCGCACCGTAGTTTAAAAGATTAACTTACATATATTCAATCTGTATTTCCCGCTTGGAAAGACAACCAATGACCTGGGATCGATGGCACATTCTGAGAAAGTGAAATCTGGGATCTTGAAAAATACCTGTTCAACAAGTAAAGCAGGAAATTATGACGGACGAAAAAACAATTTTCAGCTACAAATCACTGATGTACCTGTAGCATGAAGCTAATGAAAAAGCAACAGAGCTTATAAATTGTTGGTAGGAAGGCGGAGCCGTGGAAATTTCCTGTAGTTTGGAAATGTCAGACTTCTATTCCAAAGTAAGCTCTTTATACGTACAATAATAAGTGGAGGGTATATAGAAATTCAAGTTTCGGAATTTTGGTTATGCACGTCATCAACAGCACCGTATAAATTAACGCCGTTAGGCATACATTTCAACCCCTATTAAACGACCACCCTCGGGGAAAAGGATAGTGGCCGCCTAAAAGGGGTTGGCCGTTCAATAGAGGCAAAAACGATAAACCCTCATCGGGACTGATTACTGGCCGCCTAATAGGGGTGGCCGTTTAATTGGTGGCCACTTAATAGGGTTCAACTGTATTCCCTCTTTTCCTTCAAGCCTCTCTATTCTGACAAGGCCCTCACCCCCCCGCCCCCCCCCCTTTCAAGAACTTCCGTGTCTCAACAGAACTCCCCAACAGACCACCGCTACACCCAAGATGGTAGGCAAAGATGATTCATGAACAAGATCTCCCGAATCACTGGGTGAGTCTAAACCAGGCTACTGTCTACCCGTTATCAAAAGGTGTTGAAAATAAACTACGGTGCTCGTATAAGAAATCTTCTTAGTTACAGACCTGCGCGTAAGTGTTGATCCCTGTGCAGAAAGGATCCTCTATAAAGCTAGTTTGTTCATTGTCCGCCGTGGTCTGTTGTTTCTTCTCTCCAAAGTACACGGTCGCATTCAGCGACGCTTCAAGGGTTTTGGAGGGGAACTTCTGGCCTAACAATCACAGCAACACTGTGTTACTTTTATTACTTTCTTCAAACGTTGTTGGTCGTCTGATGCTGGCAAACGAACTGTTGACAAGTCATATAACGTTCAGCTTTTTTAGTGGAGCTCCGTCGCACGACCACCCCGTTTATACGACCAGGATTTTGAGTTCGTTGGTGGATGAAAAACAGAGTACCTTGAATTGTATTTTATTTGTGTTCTGCATAGGTAACATATGATTCGTGGGTAGCTACAATTTTTTGGTCACTTTTCTCCCTTTTTTTCCGCGTCTTGCTCGAACGGCTATGGAGGAGGGATTGCACTTACTCCTCTATTGGACAAACAGTTAACCGAGAAAGTGGCTATGTAAACCTAAAGGGTTCAACGACAATATTACAAATAATACCCACTAAAATACAGCTGTTATTATCACACGTTCAGAGGGCCAATAAAAATCAACCAATCAGGTTGCTCCATTGTTGGGCCAATACATTCCAAGTGTTGGACTGTATTGTTGGACCCAGTCCCAAATGATACCAAGCGACCACTATGCAGGTTTTCTTATCGTTTTATGGCTAACATCAAAGATATCCTTCTATAAGACACGTAAGAGATCCTTTTTTCCTTTTCTTGCAACTTTTTTCCCTTCTTTTGAATTGAAAACGCCAGACGTGGGTAAACACTAAGGCCCCGTCCACACTACACTGGAGGAGTTTGAAAACGGATGTTTCACTCTGGAAACGCGTCACTGAAATGTTTTCCGTCCACGCTCCGCCGGAGGAATTTGAAAACGAAGGTTTCACTCTGCAAACGCATCAAATGTTTTCCGTTCACACTACGCCGGAGCAATTTAAAAACGCAACAATCACCGGTCATTTTGGATTTGTGTTTGAGGAAAACTCGGTCAGGGAAATCACGTGATTATCGTGACGTCATCGTTTTCTAAAAGCCACGTTTTCAAAATGTTTTCCGTCCGCACTAAAACGCAAAGCCGACGTTTTTAAATTCCTCCGGTTTGAAGAGCGTTTTTGAAAAGTTCTGTTTTCGTGACGGGCTAGTGTGGACGGTATACCAAATCGTTGAAATAGAGCTTCGTTTTCAAATTTCTCCGGCGTAGTGTGAACGGGAGATGAGACGGCTGTCAATCGATCTGAATTACGCGCTTGAAGTAGAAAGTGTCTTATCAGTCCTCCCGTGATGGTGGTATTTTCTCAAAACATTTTTTTTCAGTCGTTCAGCAAATCTCTTATTAACCAAGCTTGCTCGGGACCGTGCTGAGAGAATGCCGGCTTTTGGTCTTTTTTGAACGGACCAGGTTGTGCTCGGTCCGTGCCGTATTCTCCCAATACGGCGCTAACGTTTGTAGTTAACAAGGTACATTTAAGGTCTGGTCCATGGTCAAACGAGCCGAAAGGCTCAATACAATCTGGGTTGACTATGTTGCCTCTGCACCTCTTCGATATCGCCCTGTAGCGATGAAATTACCCATTAACAAAAATAGAGACAAAGATATTTATTTTCCCATGGACACCAAAGAACAACACACATGCCAACAAACTGACCTATATCCCAAACCAGGCGTCTTTTATCAGGCGACAGTAATATGCCGCCAGTCGATGGACCAGCGGAATCCACTCGCACCACGGGACCTCTGAAATACAACACGAAAAGTATCTTCAATAAAATTGGACCCTCTAATTTAAACTCGGTTATTTAAAATTCCCCATTATATCCAACTCTAGCCCATTTCCCTTGAATTTGCCCTTGTGTTTTCAGTCATTTGGTATCGGCGTCTTCAAAATCGGTCATATCGAACTCCCCAATATTTCGAACTACTTTCTGTATCCTTTGGCACAAAATCAACTCCGTTTATTTGACGCCGAACCACGCTAGAACAGAGCTGAAAAACTGATTCGGACTTTTCAATCCTGTACTGTAACGAACTTCGTCCTCACATGTTCTCTTCCGACCCGTGGTCAATAGAAAAACAATGCATTTCATCTTGTTGGGAGGAGGATGAACAATGGACTCCCAAAACGGCTGGAAATCGAGCCTACTAATTGTCACGCCCAATCAGAACTTCCCGACAGCTGCTACGTCGGCTTGACTACTTCGGAAAATGTCATGTTTCTTAGCAACAACTGCCGTAAACCACAAGCTCGGGAGAGGGGCAGAGGAAGAGTGGAGCCGACTTTGAAAGGCGTTTAACGAGGCGGCTTAATGAAAACCAGTTTTTTATCATTACAAAACACACAATTATCATCGTTTTAAACCATGCAAACATAACAAACCTGTGAAAGAAGGGGAGATGAACCTCACAGTACTCAAACGAATTCTTGACCTTTTCGTTGAGCTTCAACTGTATAGAAACCTGCACAGAATTCGCGTCACCCTGCAGAAAAGAAGCAGAAGATATTAACACAAACATGAGCAGACTGACTTAAATTTTGCCAGTACTACAATCCTGGTCAAATGTCTTAGGACAATCCTTACTTTGGACCCCTCCCCCTCCCCCACCCCAATAACAATGTTGTCCAAATAGCAAGCATTCTGTCCGCAATTCAACATTGTTTGGGGGAGAGGGGGGCGGGAACATCTAACTAAAACTCGTAAAAGTCATTTCCTGGAAAGAGTAGAGAAGCATTTATGTTGCTGCCTACGATATGAACAAAGTGTCTCAAGGACTTTTGACACGGATGGTAGATCTCTCCATCAGCATATGGCAGATCGTTCCACAAATAAGTCAGATCGTTCCACTTTTAAGTAGTTAGATAAATAAAGATCGCCCCAAGATCCGCGAGTACCTTCGAGTGTAAGTTCTGAGTATTGATTCATGATCGATCACCATGATGAACTGTTGACGGAACGTAAGAGCATATGAAGCTCACTTCTTAAACTCATTAATAATTCATCAAGTTAAAACAAAGAAAATCACAACCGTGAAGGAGGTTTGAATACCCAGTCTTAATAAGCATAGATTTTGACGATTTTACTTCTCCGTTTACTCCTTAGTTTTTGTTTCGATTGAGAAGATATATCAAGCATTCCAGACAGTGTTTCATCGGCTATCCAAACACCTCGAATTTCGTCAAAAATACTCCGCTGCGCGTCGTATTTTCAAGTCTCTTCTCGGTGTTTGGATATCCCGATGAAACACTGTCTCTCGTGTTTGATATATCACATGACTAATCAGATGATGAACTACCGTGCGATCAGGCGGGTTTTTGTTCTTCTGTCTTTCTTTTTTTCTTCTGTCCCCGCTACTTTCTCTCGTGTGCACCAGCTTGCATACTATCCCTGCAACATGCGTCCTTGCGTACACAAGAAGAGCGCTTGTCCCCGCTTAACGTTCTAGCAACATGTCACCTGGAGCGCGCCGACCGTAAATCCTGATCCAATAAAGTGCAACCCAAAAGTGCCAACCAAGTGGCCAACGCGCCTTACCTGCATCTGATATATTCCTCTGACAGGCAAGCCATAAGGAGTCTTGGAAGAGTAGTGACACAGATGGAATGACTCTGTTGGTGGCCTGAATCTTACTTTCCTTCCCACCATCTCAGGTCCTTTGAGCATCTGTGACGGTTGGAATGAAGGGATCTGGACATGAGTGTCACCCTCGAGAACACAGGGGTGGACCACAAGGAAATCCAGGCATGATGACGTGATGTTTAGTGTGATTTCTGGAATTCCCTCCAAGTCAGCCTAGAAAACACAGAAACGTTAGCTTAAGTAAACGGTTATGAAATATGAAATGCCGTAGTAGAGGTTTTAACCTTTTACAAAAAAGAAAAGCTCAGTCACTAAGCAATACATTTGGACAATCCTGAATCAAGGAATCACATCATACAGCTACATATTCACACATACCCGGCACAAGATAATCCCAAAGAGTTCTCGCTCGTCTTGAAATTCCTTTTTAACGTGCTGAAAATAAAAAAGAATCAAATAAAATACAGCTCAACATATCAGTTTGGAAAAAAATTCCTCTGGAACCCAGGGTGTAGTTCCTGCTGATTCTTGACACACAAGAAGTATTACAACTATCTATACAGATGGTGTAATATATCTTTTACTACCAGTGAACTTTATTTAGCTCAGTGTGGATTTAATGAGTTCTGGAGGCGCTGTGGCCTCATGGTTAGTGCGCTTGACTCCACATCAAGCGGTCCAGGTTCAATTCCTAGCCGGGGACATTGTGTTGTGCTCTTGGGCAAGGCACTTTACTCTCACAGTGCCTCTCTCAACCCAGGTGTACAAATGGGTACCCCCAAATTTAATGCTGGGGATAACCCTGCCATGGACTAGCATCCCATCCAGGGAGGAGTAGAAATACTCCTAGTCGCTTCATGCTACAGAAAGCGGGATAGGTTCCAGGCTGATGGGCCACTTGGCTCGTATGCAGACTTAACCCTTGCTTGCCTTGCCTAGTTTTAATGGGTCGTTGTTGCCATGTTATGTACCTGGGTACAGACATGCTCTGTAAGAGCTCAAGAACACGACACAATAACAAAAGTCAGGATCTGAGCCTAAGATGTAGCACATCCAATTTGATTCTGATGTAGAGCTGCTGAAAAATGTTGATACATTTGAAATCAATTATTACTCTCACCTGGACAGCTCTGATCTCCTCTTTAACAGTAAACACAAGCTGCTGTTTTCCCCTGTACTGAACAGGCTTCCATGCAGGTTGCTATAGAAAGGGATAAAAATATAAAATTTGTATGTCTACATTTATGAAAACAGTTTTTATTTAAAACAAAATTTCAGCCTGGTGTAGGCATTTCATCCAAAGTAGACGATACAAAAATTCAGAGGATAAGTTAGCCTTTTTTCCCTCCACTCTCTTATGACAACATCTTCCCTTTCGCACTCTTCTCCCTTCCTCTTTTGGTTACTTAGCATGAGTTATCAGCATGACTCTTGGGTCTTTAGGAGTTGTAAAATCCAAGTGAGTAGCACTTTGCACCGAGCATGTAATAATATACATGTACATTACAGCATTTTAAGAACTTCAGGAAAATATAAAGTAGTTTAAGGCCTCCAAAAAACAAAATGTGTCTCAAAATTTTTTAAAGGAAAACAATTTCAGTGAGATCAAGTATAGTGCATGTTTGCAGTTAATTAATAGGTCTTTCTCACTTTGTTTACAGAATTGATATCTGATTTTTTTTATTTTGACTGTGGAATGTCTCCCAAGGTTTGAACTTTTTAATGAATGATTATGCTTGGAGATTTTGTGTTATGCCTAAACAACACACAAAAGGGTTTCTCTTCAAGCTTACCTTTAGTTCATTAAATTTTTTTTTTTAAGTTAAGGAAGATCAAGAGTTTGTTTAAGAGCACAAACCTTTCCTTTTTGAGGTACAATAATGTCTTTATTGTTGATGAATGATTGAATTGTTGTGAAGTTTGTATCAACAGGAGTACCAAATGGTGCTGATACACACAGAAACCTGTACAGCTCATTTACTTTAGACTGCAACTATCAAAAATAAATACCAACATTCACTATAGAAAGTCGACTCCAAAATAAAGCATTTATAATGCCTTTTTCAATGCCTAGAGAACATTCAAAATCATTTACTACTGAGTCAGCGCTCAAGCCAACGTTCAACAAAGGTACAGTTAACATTTTCTTACCAAAATTTCACTCCTCTGCATCTTTGACTCTAATTTATTTAGAGAGATACCACAATAAACTGTACAGGAAAACCCCATTAATCCAGTTGACAATGGGCCACATAAATCCTGCTGTATTAACAGGGTGGCCACAAGGCAGATTTGTCATGAAAATTGTCAATGGTTGACCAGAATAACAGAATGAATTGAAAGTCATGAAATACATTAAGAAGACTTCATGTTGATCAGTCTCATCTACTAAAAAATCTTCTTTGGAATTTGGCAAATAATAATATCAAGTGATTTCTCATTCCACTACTGCAGTGCCACTTGGTTTACAAAACTTACATAAATTTGATATATACATGTATATGTACACAGAAAAATACAGGCCATGGACCAAATACCTGTTCATTAGAAGTCCAGCTGCCAACAAAGTCCACCATAGAATGGAGTAAAGAATATCCCAGTGACACACCAGGCCTTTAATCATAATAATTAAAAGTTAAATTAATTTTGACACAAATATTTCAGTTATCAATGTTTTACATGAATTTGTAGAGAGAGAGACAAAATCCACAGTGCATCCATCATGACAAAATAACAGTTGGTTTGATGTTTTTATCGACTTTATTGACTCACTCACACCCTTGAAATTCAAACTAAATCAACCCAAGTCTATAAACACAATGTATAGAATATTACATACAGTTTAACAAGCGGTGGTTTTCCATGTGTCAAGTTTCCTTCCACCAATGGCACACATATAAACACTAAACCAAACTAAAAACAATGCAGATCACAAAGCAAATTTAACACTACATGATCATCAGGACATGTTGTTTTAACTCTCATTGCATCATTTAATAACTTTATAGACAAGCTATAGAGAGCAGTGCCTGCAAATTGCCTGTAATAATATACTATTAGGGTGCAACAAATAACTTAGTTTATATTTATTTATTTAGTTAGTAATGTATGACAGAAAACTTATGCCGGCCACACACCAAGTCTTGTTCCTTTTGAAGCCATTACTTGGGTTAAATGTGGTTCAAGAAACATCCAGAACCACCACAAAGAAGGTCACTTTGACATTCTGAGGGAAGGAGAGGGGAGAGTTTCTATAGCCAAAGTATTTAAAGGAAAGTGTGAAGCTAACTAAACAGAAACTGAAATTTCCAGTGCCAGGGGTGGAGGATTGATTCAAACCAAAAAAACCCTGCTGTCGGCAGGGTATCACTTTCTTCCTAACGTATAATGATTGGGAAAACATTTTCTAGTTGGTGTTCTGTTTTCAGAAACTTACTCATTGATAACTGGAGCATCCATTAACAAGGAGTGTGACCAATCTACTTTCTTGGCATTTAAGGGTGCTTAAATAATTATAGTTCTCACCCATAATATGACTACGAGCCTAAGTTCTCTTTGGGTGAATATTCAGCGAGGTCCTGCCAATTTGCATTCATTTGACTAATAGAAAACGAAGGAGACTTTATGTAGCCTTGGCTAATAAGTGTTTTGCTGCAAGGATCGTGCATAGGCATGTTAATGCACCCCAAAACTTACGATTTTGTCCACCAATTTTAGCCAAAGAAGAAGTCAAAAAGATTTTTAACTTTAGGATCTAGTAATGGGAATGAGTGTATGAGTGTGTTCTGTCAGCAAATAGACACTGACAATCAAAGAACCAGTCAGCTTCCCAGATTGCCATTAGATCTAGAAACATTGTGAGTGGCTCATGAAATGAATGTAATTATTATTTTTTATCACTACATGTAAATGTACCTTTTCTATTGCAACAACAGGCCACAAAAAACCTTCTTTCACTCTTACTTCATGGACAGGTTTGTGCTCTGGCTTACTACAGGAATCAACATCTCTGTCAAACTATGAAACAAAAACCAAATGTGATAATAATTAGTAATTATTGTAATTACACCTACCAAAAGTCTCATTTAACAGCCACCAAGAACTAATAGGAAATTTACTTATTTTAAGTATCTAGTAAGACAGGGCTTGAAATTGCGACCGCTGGGGTCGCCATTGCAACCAGTCTTTTCTCACTGGTGACCAACTTTTCATGCTTTTCACTAAAATACTTATGCTGGTGACTTAATCTGAAAACTTAGGGGCCAGCTGGCCCCAAATTTTTTTTCTAAGAGTTGAGTCCTGAAAGAGTATTTCATGGGATACAACTGTAAATGTACATGTAGAATAATTGTGAACTGGAAAGCATGTTACTGATCCTTTGCTCTATTCTTAGTTGAATAAACTAACAACTTCATTTGTCACACAAGTCTGAATGTCTTGCTACTGCCGCATAGTATGTTTGTTGTACACACCTCATCCTGGTAAGTTCCAAGTTTCCTTCTTAATCCCAATTCCTTCAACACAGCATCACCAAGTTCTTGATCACTTGGGATTGGTGTTAAACTGCTTCCTTCCTGGTACAACCCTGCTCGCCGCTCAACAGTTGGAAAACGCCTTCAGAAAGTTTTTCAATAATCAAATAATTCTGGTAAATATCTCATAAGCTGATGGACAACATTCACATTAAATGGTAAATGATATCAATAGAGGAGGTGTGGAGAGGGGTGCATCTCTGGGATTCTAACCTAAAATGTAACTGGATATTGCCAGACAATCTTCAGCTACATTTTACAACCCTATAGCAAAGATATCTAAGTGACGTCATTTTTTGTTATTACTTGCCTACTAGAGAACTACTGACTGGTGCACAAAAGATTCTTTGATATAAAATGTTGAACATTGAAATAACAAAACAGTGTTTGTAAACAAATAACTTCCCTGTTCTGGATGTCGACTATTGGGATCATGTGTATTTTGTGCACCCCTCGACCGATATATTGGTCAACATATTGACCGACACTCGACCGAGGTATCGGCCGATATTTCGACTGACACTCAAATGATATGTCGGTCGACATATCAATCGACACTCGGCTGATATATCGACTGAGATATGTCGGTCGACATATCGGTCGATATATCGCCCGACACTCGACCGATATGTCGGTCGATATGTCGATTGAGAGTGGTTGTCTGATTGTCGGCCGACATGTCGATCGATAGGCTACCGACATTCCCCCGATACTTCAGCAATACTGGTGACTGTAGCCTGCGTCACAGACGTAATTTAACCTAGGTTAGTAACCTTTTGCTGAGCAGCGCAGATATCCCTGTTTTACCCCCCGCTTCTCAGAGGCTTCTTTATATAAACCTGGCATAGTCAATCAAAAAACCGAACTAAAAATCAATCAAGCTCAATCTAACCCGATGGGTTGGATTGTTTTTCGATTGGTTCGGTAATCGAACATCATCGAACTGGAACTTTTCGGTGAGTTCGATTAATCGAACTCGTGAGTTCGATTACCGAACTCAATCAAACCAATCGAACTCAATCAACGCGATTACTTCGATTTTGTTTGGCAGAAAGACAAAACGCATCCAGTTTTAAATGAATCGGAAAGATCTGCCTCTAGCATGTATTTGAAGCAGTTTGACAACTTTTAAGGTTGACCAAAAAAGGATGAAATGCGCATAACTTATACATCTGACCCTGCCAGTCGAAGCTTTTGACTTATATTATACGACAGTCGACCGATATACCACCGAATATCGACTGATATTCCACCAACAGTCAATGGTCAAGGTATCGGCCAAGTGTCGGCTGCTAGATCGATTGACAAATTCCCTACCCTATGATCGTATCCAAGATATGTAATTTTTCAGAAATCCTAACGCTACCACAGAATGAGTTGGTTTGAAAGTTGTTTTAAAAACATTTAGTTTGGATTCCTTCAATTTCAAGTGTCAATATTTACTACTCTCCAAGTAGACTATAAATTATTGACCCAACTAATCGGTTTTACACTAAATGATCTGATGTCTTGTTACAGACCGAAGTTCACCAATTTTTAGACTCTTTCCCAGACCAAAGTCCTTTTTCAGTATCAACAAACAGAAACTGAAGATATTCGTGTAATCCGACTTATCTATCTTGCTCATACAATGTTCTGGTGTCGTCATGTTACTGAATGATCTTCGTTCATGTAGTACAAGTGTACTAAATCAAGAAAAAGCCTTCTATAAATAACCAAGTCATGAAGTCCCGTAGTGATCAGATGAAAGCTATTTCTAGACTATCGCCAAAACACGCAGCCCATAAGCTTACCTTGAGAAGAGAACACATTCAGACTCAGTATTAACAGCTGAAAACACCCAAATGCCTCGCAAGCTCATTGAAAAAAGTTTTCTCTAACTTTAACACCGGAAGACAAACTTCCGTCTTAGACGTCTCAGATCAGCAGACTGTCCGCCATTTTGGTCATGAGTGGACTTCGAACCTAGTCCTTTTCTGTGTCTTGCTACTGAAGGTTAGTGAAGGTCAAGATCGAGTGACAGTCACGCATTACAAAAACATGCGAATCCACAGTCCATTTCCGGCTTCACTGGGGTGCCATCAACTGCACGTCGCATTATAGACAAAGCAAACCTTGCTATTATGCCACAATTCCGCAACTTATCTTAACGTTGGGCAGAAAAAAACAGAATGCAGCCCGAAATTGTCAGGCATTAGGCAGGTTAGGTTACATTTTTGGGTCAAAACAGGAAAGTACATTTGATAGGTTTAGTTTTTTCAATAACAAATGACACATGTCTTCCGGAATTGGCCAATCACAACTCGTGATCTCAAGAAACCTTTGAACCCACTGTTTCGAACTTGGTTCCGAACGCAATAAAATCTTCACGAGAGTGCTCTGCGAGACGTTTGAAATTCAGCAGCAGAGATGGAAGGTCCGACAGTTGTAAAAGGCAACTCAGACGCCGTGAAAAATGGCATTTGCAAAGGCGAAGTCACTGCTAATACAACCACAAAAGAGGCAAACGGATATGTTCCAAAAAAAACTGCTAAAAAGTCTGCAGCTCGACGGAAAACCGACCTGGAAACAGTGTTCTCGCTGCTGTGGTGCAGTTGGTTCGTCCTAGAATGCCTGTTATACTACGTTGGAGTAATTTTCGTCGTGGTAATCCCCTTGTTTCCAGTATTGGCGGTTTTTTTCCTCCTGAAGATGGTCGAGCGAGTTGTAGTGAAGTTGACAAGGGGCGAGACCGCGTTGAGCGGGCAAGACGCCGCTTGGCAACAGACCAGGGACGAAAACCGGCTCGCTATCAACGGAGTGGTTTACGCGGAGAGAAAAAACAGCTTTGAAGATGCAATGAAAGATTTCCGACTGGCCATTTTAGAACGTATGGTGAATGCTAAAAAACCGAACGGAGAACTGTTGTACCCCAGAATTCGCTGCTGCATCCGCCCAGGTTTCTTCCAGTACTTTTTCCAGGAAGACAAATCCTTCCGGATTGAAAATCACGTGTTCAAATGGGAAGGGGAGGTACCTTCGTCCAAAGAGGAACTGGCGTCCATTACCTCGAAGCTGAGTAATGAAGCTTTTCCCAAAGGAGTATCTCCCTGGTATTTTTGCTGTGTTCCAATAAACTATGGTGACCAGGGTTTTGCTGCAGTATTCAGAATGAGCCATAGCCTTGCTGATGGAGTTGCCTTAACAAAATTCCTGGTCAACCAATTACCAGATAAGTCCACTCCTCAAAAGGAGCCTGTAAAGTTCACAGCTTCCACAAGTAAGGCACTTCTACTGGCCAAAGCAGCATTAATTATACCGCGTTTCTTCATAAAATTATTTCTCTCATTTGCTGACCGATCCATCTTGCATGGGCCGAAGATCAGTGGAGCTAAAAAGGTTGCCTGGCACGAGGGATTTGAGTTTGAGTTAGTAAAACAAATTAAGACAGCTACAGGTACAACTGTCAATGATGTGTTGATGTCCTGCCTTTCTCGAGCAATCAGAAGGTACTTTCAGAGAAAAGGTGTGGAGAACCCTCCAGATTTTACTGCATCTGTTCCAGTGGACATCCGCTTGTCCACAGCCTCCAAGAAAGATTTAAGCTTTCAAAACAAGTTCTCACTGGTTTTCCTTAAACTTGCAGCAGCCACTGAGGATGTCCTGGAGCAACTGTACGAGACCAAAGCACGAATGGATGAATGTAAATTCTCTGGTGAATACCTAGCCATGGCAGCTATGATTATTCTGACAAATGAGCTCACCCCCGAATTTGTGGTTCATAACATTAGCGACTTTATAGCCCAAAAAGCAAGTTGTGTTTTATCAAACGTCCCTGGTCCACAGAATTTTCTCATGGTGAATGGCCAACGAGTCAAGTACATGGCATTCTGGCCTCCACAGCGCCACAATATTGCAGTAGGACTGTCTATATATTCCTACGCGGGCCAAGTTATTGTTGGAGTTCAGAGTGATGCTAGTTTGCTTCCAGATCCAGAGATAATCATTGAAGAGTTTGGAAATGCTTTGAAGGATTTGGCTGGTCGTGTTCTTCATAGCAATGAAACAACTGAACATGCTGTTCATTAATCAGAATCTCTGTGCTGGACGTCAGTTTCACTACATACATGTAAGCACTCGTACATGGCTTAACTTTATGAAGAATAGACGTTGTGTAATGTTTATGTCTTCCCTGATGGTACAGAAAATTTGTGTTTATGCCAGTATACATTGCTGGGGTAATTATACTGTAGTCTAGGACTGAGTCAGGTTCAAAAATTTAGGGTTTTCATTAACATAATGGTCAAGTAGAACTACTGCCATGTCTTCTTGCATGCTCAATTATTCCCCTCAGTTTATTTTATAATGATAAAAAGTATATATATAATGCCATTTCTAAGAAGAGCTCAATTGTGTTTTACAATAAAGAGGTGCACATACATCAAAAGAAATCATTGGTATAGTTTTAAGATTTAATAGAAACATTCCTCTCATGATGGTAACTGTAGCTCTGTGGAAATCCACATATTTTTCCTGATTGGTACTTGTTGGTCAGATTTCAACAATCTCGGGTCTCTTCTGAGCGAGAGAGGAGTTGAAGATCTGTGTATGCAGGCTAGATCATATTTTTATTTCACAATCAATACAGACCTGTGAAAAGAAATTCGGAGGGAAACTCACCTGAATTTTCCTAGCAACCTGCTCCATTCTTATAGAATGTAGGTTATCGTGTACCAGTATGTGCAAAGCTCACCATCAGTAGTGGAAATTGCATAATTTTCAATTGAAAAGACAGGACTGAAATTTCTAGTTTGAATACATCAGGCTTGATTGTTATGGCACTAAAACATGGGATTGGTTTTTGAAAAGCTTTTTAAAGGATTTCCACATCAAAGAATTATGAGAGTCAGAGCAGAGCATTATTAATACTAAATCGTAGTTCATGGTAGAAACTCTTCATTTAAGTATGATCCTCACTAATTTCTCTGTAGTGTCAGCATATACATAAGCATGTTTCACTCTCAACTTCTTTATTTCAGTTAATTTTCAAAAAGATCTTTTTACAGAATTTGTACTTAAAATATACTTTGAAATTAGCTCAGGATGGAAGCCCATTCGGAGGGTGACATATCACTTGATTAATTAAAAAGGAGTTGAGCAAAGATTTTTTCATGTTTTGAAATAAAATTAATCAATTTAGAAGACAAAAAGTATGGTAATACTTTTTGTAAAAGAATAAAGACAAGGACATGTGCAATATTGTGAATTGTATGACATTTTTTTTTTCCTTGAAAGAGAATTGTTTTTGTAAAAACATAGTTATTTTTTTTTGGATTTACAAGATGATGTTAGGTAAAATAATTATTTATTGATTACTAGAAAGTGAAGATTGAGTATTGTTAACTTGGCTATTATGGATTATATTTTTGCAAATCATCCTTGTAATGTATTATTGATCAAATGTCACCACAAAATTAATTAGTCATTTAATGCTTACAAATTTTATTCACATTTTTTCTTTTCATGAAAGAACTAATTAAACATGCCAAGGCAAGGTACAGAATTAGAGTAATCAGGGCTTTAATGTCTGTAACAGGGAAAAGTCCAGAAATAAGCAGGTCCCAGGCTTTGACCGTATGGCTAAATATCGGTAGAGAAACAATTAGTATAACAATAAATGTAACAGTATTTTCATTTATAGATCACAAGCTTATAATAAATAGTTGAATTTACTACACTGACTTTAATAATAAAACAACCTTGTTCTTGAGAACTCACTGTTGAGTGATAGAGATGTTCTACTTGAAGCTACATTCTCACAAGAATCAATGTTTATTAAGTTTATTAATTATTATCTAATAGATATTGTGACTACAGATGCAAACAAGAAATGTTGCAAGTACATGTACTTGAATTTTTAGCCAGCAAAAGCAGGCAGAGTTTTGACTTTTGTTTCATGCCACTGGTATTTCTTGGTGGCATGAAACAAGAACCAGAAATCCATCTGTGTTTGCAAGCTATTGAAAAATGTTGATTCTGACAAATGTACACCATTATTTAACATTTGTACATCATAAATTTCACGTAAACTGTTTTGTAAAAAATGGAAACCCTTTTAATTTAACATCCTCAAAATTAATTTCTTTTCCCAAAAAAGTTTTAGTCTCAGACTACAAATGTACTGCAACCAGCAAGCAGAATAAACTGAACAGATGTGAATTGAATGGCTGTCAAGCATTTTTTACAACCTCGAAATAACATTTAATTCTCACTGGAGTAAAAATTTCAGGGGTTTTTTATTTGATGAGCAGTGACATCAATGAATATTCAAAGAGTAATCAACTGATTATTCATTGATTACTGGCAATGATCCATCAGTAATCGAAGCCCAATAACTTTGTGGCGTATCGATTACTCATCAGTGTCATTGATTACTCATTGATTACATTGATTAGCCATAGATATTATTGATTACTCATTGATGACCTATTGATTACTTATCAACTATCATTCTGCACTAATATTACAAATTTCTTGCTTTTTTGTACCAATATTTTCTTAATTCTTTTATCTGTGTTTTACTTGTTTGTCCTTCATAACAGGTGTTCTTGTTTACGTAATTACGCCGACACTAAAGGCCAAACAACATACCAGCATATCGAAACATGTAGATCAGTAATTTTGTGGCTTATTGATTACTCATTGATCATTGGCAATAATCAATGACTAATCAACTGATTACCCATTGATTACTTATCAATTACTCACTGATGTCATCAATTAGATACCTCTGGAAAATTGTTCACCAGGCATCTTTAACTATAACAATTTTTGTGGACTATCTTGATCTCTTTGGAATGATTTTACTGAAGAATCTTGAGGTTGAGACTTGCAATCCTGTCCACAGCAAATGAAAATTCCTACGATACCAAGCTCTGTTTGACAAACAGAAATTCAGCAGTTAAAATATTGTTTCTTTAAGAAGCATCAACTGCCCAAAGGCCATGCTATCTATATCTAACATAACATGATATGGTTTGAATGACTCCATTCAATATTAATTTTACAGTTTTCAAAAGCACAAATTAAAGTGGAGCTCCTGATTACAATAGGTTAACCTTGGCTTCAGCTTACGATCCAATCAAAAACCAGAACTTAGCATGTGCTCAATTTCACAATATGGTCACAATATGGTCATGTGATACTGGTCAGCAGATACCTTGTTTTGACAGGTGTCAATTGACTAAATCATGGATGTCTCGCTTAGTCTGTTAAGCACAACGAGAGAGAAGCTGGGAGCAAGAAGCGCAGAAAAGGAGGATGTAACTCTCATCCCCAGATTATGGGCAGCTTTTTTTCTCTAGTGCATTTTTTTTCAATTCATGGTCGAGGACTAAGCAAAAGAGGAACTGTTCATGGTCTATATTTGTTGGCCAGGCACTATGTTTTCACAGTGTCTCCCTAGCCAGGAGTACAAATGGGTATCAGTGAACATGCAATGGGATAACAACCATTCCTATTGTGTGAAAAGATTCAAACCAGGGACACCATTATTGATGAGCCAGCTGGCTTCTCTAATCCAAGTGTACTCAGTGTATATGTTGTGGCTCAATTTTAACCTTTGATATAATATAATATTTTGTTTTAGTGTACAGTCTACGTACATGTAATATACTATAATTTACATGAAACAAGAGAAAAAACAAATTGTAGCGAGGGTATTATTGAGCCACAAAATATACTTCCTCGTCAGATTTTTGCAGAACATTATTTTTGTAAGCTGCAACACCAGTTTCGAACAAACATTTTGGTAAAGCGATGCACCTTACCAAGTCTTTACAATTAATTAATCATATTTATTACGGAGGAGGCAGCGTGGCTCAGTCATGCTTGTAAATAGCCAACTGGTCTGCCTCCCACCGGTTGGGATTTTTAAGCCTATTACATTTAGTTGATATATTTGTTTCCTTCATTTAAAGTGACATGCCTGTGAACTAGCTAAGTGTAGCTAAGCGCATTGACCACTATAAACAACAACATTTGAACATTTGAATATTTTCAACAAAAAAGTTAGCGAAATTAATAAATGACATTCCGACATTGTCGGGTATCATTGTCAAGTAAATGTGTAGGTTAGTTTTTGCATTACAAGAGGATCTACAATTATGCACATAAGATTGCAAAATACATTAGGTGACAAGAAAACAAGAAAAAGTGAGTATTAGAAAAGTATACTTAATTAAACAAACAGTTTTGCTCTGATTGAGTCTGACTGAGTACTGAGTCCTGGCTTAAGTTCTCTGATATATAACATTTCATACATCAGGCAGTCAAGTTTACTCCTTCATTTCTTTTAGATGGTAAAATGGTCTTTGAGGTTCCTTGGCTCCATATCAAGGAGCACAACACCACCACAACGGCAACAAGAACGTCACCAAACAAAAGGTCTAATGATCAAAACAATGGCTGTGCACATGCGAGCAAAACAATAGCTGCACGTTATAAATCTTTGTACATTTCTTTGCCATCCTCTGCAAAATAACAATGTGAAATGACCAAGTTCTGCCTCATCTACTGAACGTGGACAATGAAGGCTAATTTTTAGTATTTCCATTAGGAATTTAACACTCTCATTGCATATGTAGCCTGAGCACATTTTAGAGTCATTGGTGCACCAAGCAGATCTAGCAAATCACGAATTTCGCTGGTAAAATATAAATTCATGTTTTACTAGCCGTCATCCTCCGCGGTGGCAGCAGTGCTGCTTAAGCTCCCTATTGTGTGATACATGAACAGTCAGTGTAGTCTTGATTATTACCTGAGATACTGAGAATGAACTCTGTAGTTACCATCTAAGAAGTCTCTGTAAAATTTTGACAATTCATCAGCTAACTCCTTATCTAAAAAGAAAAAGAAAACACATTACACAAACAAGACTCCCTAGAAGATCGGCACTCAACATCACACACTGAAATAATTTTACTATTGTAACTACTGGTATATATTGAAATGATCGCCTAGCACGGTGTATATGTTTGCCTGTTAGAAGGCTTCCAAATGAGGTAGAGGAGAAAAAATATATTTTTGACAAGCAGAGCAAGATAAGTCTGGATTATTGCACCTGTTCAAAGGCCACTTATATCAATTAATAATTGTTATTATTATAAATTATTATTAATCACTCTCTAAAACTTGGGCAGCTACTACTCTCAACATCCACTATAATAATATTACTATACCACTATCAATTGGATAACTACAAACCAACCTAGTAACCAATCAGTCTGGCCAAGGTTGTTCGAGGCTGGATAACGCTATCCACCGGATAAAACGCTATCCAGTGGTTAAGTCTTTACAAAACAAACCACGCTATCGGCTGGATAGTGATTGATCTGGTAAATAGTGTTATCCACCTTTTGAACAATCTGGGCCGGGTGGATACTCATACATGAAGCATTATCCAACTTTATGACAGCCAGGAGCTGCTGTTTAACTGATGGCCAACTTACTTGTGTCAGTTTCCAGGTTCCTTGGTCTCAACTGGAGGTATGCCTTTTTTGACTAGAAAATAACAGGACAAAAGTTATCAACATCTGTAACTTCCTTACAGCAACAAGTCCAGATAAGCAGGTGAAGAAGTATACTGCATACCGTATATATCCTCTTTATTTGATCACCAAAGAAACAAAGAAAACTACAGTAATTTGTGACTTTTCTGTGCTTCTCTTAAGCCAGTGGTTTGACACCTACATGTAAGATGACCTAACCTTACTGAATTTTTCATTTTGTTTTTCCCAGAAATCCTGGTGCCAAGTATTCAATTCTTGTTGCTGTTCTCTGAAGTATTTTTCCTGAAAAATAAAATTGAATATGTTCAAATTGGTCAGTCTTCTTTGTTTCAGTAACAAAATGCATACAATTATCTACTATACAGAGTATTGAAAGGGTGATCCCAAAAATTTATCAAATAATCAAATAATACAAGTTCATTAGTGAATGGGCATTCCATTCAATATCTGCACCCCCCCCCCCGCCCCCCTATTGAGGCCCTCTGAATTTTGTCCCCTCAGAAAAGTAAGATCAAAGTGCTGACATACTTCCCCCCTCAGATTTTATTAAAAGATCAAAGGCACTGACACAGCTGCCCCCTTAGAAATTCCCGTTACAGACCCCCTCCCCTCCCCCTCAGATTTCCGAGTACCTCATTAGGGGTATAAAATGTTTAAGCAAGCAACCGGAACGATGATCCTGCTGGTATACGTTGGATCAATAGTGATCTAATCGGATTTAGGATCAATTGATCCTAATGGTCTGAACATCCGCGAAGAAACATATTAATTGTTTCCATTTGTTTTCTTTTATTATGTTCTTTTATCATGTTATTTTATTTTACCGTATGCTTATCTTCAGTTTACACTATCAATTACTTTTGCGTATTTCCGGTATTACGTAAATATCGGCTACATAAAAACACGCACCAATGTANAACATTTCCATTGTACCTGAAGAAGGCTGGTTTGGCCCGCCGAAATATAGTACACCTTCAAAAAATCATTCTACGTTGTGTCGGTTTTTGCTTTTGTATTCCTCATTAGGGGGTAGTGGTGGTGATAAAAAAATGGAATGGTGCATTGCACTGGGTGGTCACTTTGGTCTTGGTTGGACAACATCCAATCAAAAACTGCACTAAATTAACTTTAGATAGAGTACCATGATAAACAGACAGACAACCTTCATTTAAGCACAATTAAAACTAAAGCTCAGTAACTAATGGAGTTGTGCAAAAACATAATAAAATTAAAATGAAAGTAACTTCGTACAAAGTACATAAATGATAAATACAGTTCATCTGTATCAGTTCTGACTTTTGATATACGGTCGTATGACTCAAGACTTACTTGCTTAGTTTCGTCCTTCGACTTTGCATAGATGATTTTTCTTATGTTCGATCTGTAGTCTCGGGGACCCACCAAGTTAAACTTGCTACGACATGGCGGTCCAGAAGTTGAGGTACTCCTAGGAGCCTTAAAATCGTAATGATATAAGCTTAACAATAACTCACAGCTTTGCAAATTATCCTACGTGAAGTTCTAAGCTTACATAACCGCAAGCCCAGCTTTATACCTGATGTCCCTTGTCAAAACCAGTTTCACGGCTGTTACTCTCCCATCTTTTAGGCAAAACAAAAGATCGATATAAAAGGTTCCTTTTCGCACAAAGTTGTATTAAAGCGTTATTTCTATGAACCACTTTCATCCAGGTTGAAACCATATACGGAACTAGACAACCAAGAAGCTAAGAGTCAGAGTTTGAGGGTAACAAGGCTAGGCTACCAAGGCTACGGCAACCGCTGTCCAAGAGCCGCAGACGCAACATCCTTCAAAATGGCGGAAAGAGAGTGTCTTGAAGGTTATGATATTTTCAGCGTGTTTTTTGGCTTCGTTGAATTGATTTGAGGTATTATTCCCAGTAAAATAAACGCTCTTTATCTTATAGAAGAAAGCAGTACAGCAAAAGAAGATCGCGAAGAGAAAGATATCTCACGCAGTCGAGGTATGCTATCTCCAATTCTTATACGCAGCCAAGTGAGCCAAGTTATGTTACGTCCAAACTGTGCCTAAAAGTATAAAGTTCGTATCTGGAGCATTCCAGCTTGAAATACGTTTTCTATAAGTTTGTTAACTTAATGTGGCACGTGACCGTGGGAGAATATTGTTGATAGAATCGGATTGCCCAACAATGTAGGTTCATCACTTTTCGGGCAACCCTTAGGCATTCGACATTTTGAATTTTTGGTTAATTAAAATCCCATCCTCCGGGTCAAAAGAGGTGTTTAATACCCCACCTTTGGGTCATAGTAGGCGTTCAAATGCCCCTAGTTACCCCTGGAACTGTCACCCACTTTCAATCGGGTGATAAGTTGTTATTTAACTGGCAACGAGTTTCTTTGTGTAAAACTGACAACAGTAATAACAAGTAAGCTTAACCAATGATTTATATTTAACAATTAGACCTGTGGCCCTTTAGGACGAAGGGTCTAATTGTTTTAGTATCACCCAACTAGTCGGACAGAAAAGGCAGTGATAAAGTTAGCAAATGCAAGTTGAAGGAATATTTATTTGGGAATAAAATGAAAGAAAGTGCCATGCTCAATTGTGCCAATTTTTCTACTCAAGGACTATAGTAATAGTAGTCCTCTAGTAGCGTAGCCAATTAAAATACAGGATTTGCATTAGTGCTCTAGTTGGGTGAGTCTAAATGGTCTTAGTATAAATCTACTGGCGTTCTATCATGAATGCCGTGCTCTGACTGGCTACGTTACTCACTATCTATTCTGGGATAGATAGTGAGTAGCGTGCGCTTGTTAACAAAATGAAGGGCGCTTTTTGGCGTTTTCGAAGTGTCTGTTAAGAGGATTTAGATAAAGTCTTGAATGACTGGTAGATCTATACTAAAACAATTAGATTATTCCCTCTCGATGTCTATCACGGGATAGAAATCTCAACTCATAATCAAATTGTCTAATATATGGATTGTTTCACAGCTAAAAAGAAAAGGAAGAGAAAACACAACAGCCAATCCAGAGAAAATTCTTCTTCATCAAGTTCTTCAAGTAGAAGCAGGTCACCTTTGAGAGGTATTAAAAATGTAATTTTCATCTCACAACAGCAAAACATTTGGAGTTCTTTATGAACACTGATTACCAAGAAAAATACTTACGGAGTGGAATACGCGGAGTGTTGAAAATGCAGAGTGTAGAAAATGCGGAGGGTGAAAATGAGAAGTGTGGAAAGTGCTGGGTGTGGAAAATGACGAGTGTGGAAAGTGCGGAGTGTAGAAATTGTGTAGAAAATTTCAATTTCCCATTTCAATTTCCATGTCCATGCTGAGTGTGGAAAATGTGGCGTATGTAAACTCTTGCAAATTGGATATCTTATGGTTGAGGCCGAAGGGAATAAAGTTGAAGTACTCGTACTCCATCATTATTGCCAAAGGTTTTGAACAAACACCAATAAATTGCATAATGTTTGGATGGCTCAAGCTTTTAAGCATTTTTGCTTCCTTAGCAATGTTCCCTAAGTGAGAATCTCCCTCTCCAAAAAATCCCTAGACAACAACAACTTTGCCATTAGGAATGTAATTTCCTTTCATGACTGACCCAAAACTTCCCTTGCCAATCT